AGAAGGACATGTTTCTGTCTATAGAGGGACATGTTTCTGTCTATAGAGGGACATGTTTCTGTCTATAGAAGGACATGTTTCTGTCTATAGAAGGACATGTTTCTGTTAGGTGGGGAAGTTATTCTATAATTGAAGACGGACCTCTGCTAGTCAGTAACTCAGGAGGATGAAGATGTGAAGATGAGGAGTTGAGTAAATGATCAGAATATTCCTTCACCTGAAAGAATCTGATAAATGAAAACACAAGTTTGTGAAATATTGACGTGATAAACAGTGAGAATGTGTTAGTGAATCGAGGAGCAGAAGAGGAGTGTGACTCTGATCGGGTTCTGATCCTAACAGAACGGTTCTGGAGGACCAACATGTTCTGCAGAGTAGCAGGAAAAGAACTGATCCAAAGTACATCACAATATGAAGGATGGGATCACTGATACTGTGATAAAGAATCAGGAGACAGGATGTCTCATTACTCCTCATTACTCCACTAGATCTGTTTATTCTTCTGCCAACAGTCAACATGTTTACTCCAACTTAAACTCTCATCAACAATGACCCCTAGGAACTCTGTAGACGACACTTGAGGCATCTCAACAGATTCAACTTTAATTTGAGTTAAATCCTTAAAGTACGTTCGTACTTTATTCAAAGATAGTTTATTTAATCTGAAGCATGTAACATAGGCAGTTAAACTAGCTTTAGCTTCCATCAGAGAGAACTAGTCTGCAAACATTATCGGAAAAAGAGACAAATCATTAATATAATAAGGAATAGTAGTGGTCCAAGAATGGACCCCTGTGGAACCCCACACATTATAATAAGTACAGTTAATGTATAATGATGTTATTATATTATATTCTTTTATTATTATGTTATTATTATTATAATATAATTATTATTATGATATTATTATTAAGTGATTATTATATTATATTATTTTATTTGTATTATTATTTTATTTGTATTATTATATTATTATTATTATTATTTTATTATATTATTATATCATATTATATTATTATGTTATATTATATTATTATGTTATAATATTATTTTATTTTTATTATTATATTATTATTATTTTATTTTTATATTATTATTATTTTATTATTATTATTATATGTTATTATATTATTATTATTATTATTATTGTTATTATATTTTATTATATCATATTATATTATTATATTATAGTTTGTTTTATTAGAACACACCAGACTTCTGGTGACAGTTTCTTCTTTGTTGGTGCTTTAGAACAAAAGCAGCGATCCACAAACGATCTGCAGACTCTCTTCCTCTTCTTCTTCTCTTCTCCTCCATCACTCTTTGTCGTCCTGTCTGTCTGTCTACCTCTCTGTCTCTCTGTCTCTCTCTCTACCTGTCTCTCTGTCTGTGTGTCTACCTGTTGTCTCTCTGTCTGTCTGTCTCTCTCTCTCTACCTGTCTCTCTGTCTGTGTAATCCTGTTCCAACAGTACCTTATAGGTTTAAACAAGCTCTCAGGTGTGTTAGTGTCAGAGCAGGTAGCCCCGCCCCTGGCCCCGCCCCCCTCACAATGACCATCTATGGTTATTTTTTCAGAATCTCTATCAGTGACCAGTGAGGAGTTCACCAATGGTACGTCAGCTGTCTCTCACCAACTCTATGTCTCATCGTCCAATCACATCGCTGTCCTCGCCATGTGACTCCGCCCCCCCAGCATCATAATAAGTCATCGCTAATGATGAAGAAATAACATCAGCTGTGTGATTGACAGCTCCATCAACCTGTTACTGTCTGTCTGTCTCTCTACCTGTCTGTCTCTCTGTCTGTCTGTCTATATACAACAATATACAACATACATACAGTATACACTCAGTATACACAGAGTGTACACAATATTCACACAGTATACACAGAGTATACACAGTGTACAGACAATATTCACACAGTATACACACAGTATACACACAATGTACACACTGTATACACCAGTGGGGGCCGTGCGTTAACTTAACTTAAACACTTTAACTTAAAACTTAACTTAAACACTTTAACCTTAAACTTAACTTAAACACTTTAACTTTAAACTTAACACTTTAACTTCAACACTTTAACTTAAACACTTTAACTTTAAACTTAACACTTTAACTTCAACACTTTAACTTAAACACTTTAACTTTAAACTTAACTTAAACACTTTAACCTTAAACTTAACTTAAACACTTTAACTTTAAACTTAACTTAACACTTTAACTTCAACACTTTAACTTCAACACTTTAACTTAAACTTAACTTAACTTTAACTTCAACACTAACTTTAACACTTTGCGCGCAGTATATAGACTTTTGCCGCTTCACGCGTCCTCTTGTTGCTCTGCACCGGCTAAATATGTCCCCAGAGCAACACTGGACATAACAATAGTTCATATGACATATAAAACCAAACAAAAATCCATCTTCATAAAAACAAGTTGTACAAATAATAATATACAAACAAGCATATTGAAGCTGCTGCAGATGTAAAAACAAATGCATTTAACTTACCAGAGCTGCTGTTCACTATTTAAAGACAAAGTCCATCCTCCTTTCTTTGTTAATAAAGAGTTTAATCTCACGGTTGTTCAGTACATCCGTGTGTTTTAGTTCCAGTAAGAAGTCCTTCTCCATTCATGGACGCCAGTGAAGACAGTCGAGTCTCCCCAGTTGTATTTCTTGAATACGTTTTAATGCGTTTGAGGCTGAAAATGTCCGCTCCACAGAGGCAGCAGATATTGGGATTGTCACCGCCCAACATGTCACGCTAGCCCACTGACCAATCACGTACTTGTAGGCCAGCTAGCAGCTCTGACACGTCAAAGAATACGCCCAACATGTCAAACTAAAGATGTGATTGGTTGAACACTATGACAATCAACAATATCGTCCCCATTCACTTATTCACTGATTGGATAAAAGCTCCACTTAAAACAAGCTGCACTGGAAGCAGAGCAACTGAGGAAGACAGTAGCTGTGCAATGAGAACATAAGATAATAAAAATTACAATAGTGTATTCATGAAAAATGATTAAATTATAAAATAGATATAACTTTGTGATTCTGTTTAGGCCAGCAGAGAAGGCCTTGAAGGCCCTGACGGCCCACCACTGGTGTACACAGAGTATACACACAATATACACTCAATGATTTAGAAATAACATTGGTGGAGCTTCATCCTTGTGGTTTCAGCTTGGTCCAACTGGTCCCATCTGGTAAATAGGTCCCAGCTGGTCCAAACATATTCCTTTGCATTCCCACTGGTTCCAACTGGTTTCAAAGGGTTTCTACTTGTTCCAATAGCTGTTTACTGGGTTATTAATGGATTAAACTGGTGCTCATGTCTGCTAGATCCAATAAATTCTAACTACATTCTTACTCCACTGTACTTCTACTCTACTGTACTTCTAACATACTGTACTTCTAACATACTGTACTTCTACTCCTTCAGTACTTTTACTACCCTGTTGTACTCTCCTGACCTCCTAACTGGTTCTAACAGAGAACCTGACCTGATTGATGTGAACTTTAACCCTGAATTCATCCACTGGTTCTCACTGGTTCTCACTGGTTCTTACTGGTTCTTACTGGTTCTCACTGGTTCTAACTGGTTCTCAGTGGTTCTAACTGGTTCTAACTGCCTGATTCCCTATTGTTCTCTTTTCTTTTCTGTTCACGTTCGTTTCTCCTCCCAGTCGTACCAGTAAAGGAAGCCCCGCCCACGGAGAGAGTCCCCAGTCTTCTATTGAGGGTTAAACCTGAACCCAGTGTGTGTTTGTGTCTCTACTGGTGCTGTGTTACTGTGAACTTTACTAGTAATAATGATATTGATTATCTGCACATTATGACTGTAAAATTATCAGCAATATTCAGTGTATTGATATGTGGTCCAGCTGTCTGTCTGCTGTCAAGAGAGTGAGACAGGTCAGCCGCCTGTCTGTCATCACATCAACACAAGGTGAATTAGAGCTCTCACTCCTCTCTGGATGTTCACAGCTAGCTAGGTTCCAGCTGGATGTGACTGGTTCTAGTTGGTTCCAACTGGATCTAACTGGTTCCAACTGGTTTTAACTGGTTCCAGCTGGATGTGACTGGTTATAGTTGGTTCCAACTGGATCTAACTGTTTTTTAAACTCATTGACCCAGTTAGCAGCAGAAGCTCAACAACAACAACAACCATCTAATAATCACCAGTCAAAAACTTCACATTTTATTTATTGGTCTTTTTTCCACCATTCAAGATTACTCTTTTGGTGAGTTCGATATTGTTTTGATTTCATTAATTGATGACATAATTTTAACGTTAACCAGCTGAATCCTGTTCGTTTATAAATCACAGAATTGTTTCCAGGAAACTCGCAAGGAAATAATCAGAAATAAAGGTTTTTAAAGTCAATTGAAATAAAACAACAATGTGAATATTAATGTATCCAATAGTTGGTTATATTCCTCTCATGTGTTTATTTGAGTTTATTAAATGTTAATTTATCAAAGTTTTACTTAAGAACGAATCCAGGAGATGAAATATTGACATGTTTATTGTTCATCATCAGACTGTAAGAATTTGAAGTGTAAGAATCTGAAGCGTAAGAATTTCAAGTGTAAGAATCTGAAGTGTAAGAATCTGAAGTGTAAGAATCTGAAGTGTAAGAATTTGAAGTGTAAGAATCTGAAGTGTAAGAATCTGAAGTGTAAGAATCTGAAGTGTAACTGCTGATCTATTTATTCTGTTTGTGTTTGTTGTTCATGTGGTGTTGGTTCTGTTGAGTCCAGTTCTGAGCTGCGTTCAACACAGCACATGTTTCACTATGTTAGCAGAGCGTTAGCTGAACGTTAGTAGAGCGTTAGCTAAACAATAGCAGAGCGTTAGTCGAACGATAGCAGAACGTTAGCTGAACGTTAGCAGAACGTTAGGCGAACGTTCGCAGAGCGTTAGCTGAACAATAGCAGAGCGTTAGCTGAACGATAGCAGAGCGTTAGCTGAACGATAGCAGAGCGTTAGTCGAACGATATCAGAACGTTAGCACAGCGTTAGGTGAACATTAGCAGAGCGTTAGCTGAATGTTAGCTGAACAATAGCAGAGCGTTAGCTGAACAATAGCAGAGCGTTAGCTGAACATTAGCAGAGCGTTAGCTGAACAATAGCAGAGTGTTAGCTGAACATTAGCAGAGCGTTAGCTGAACAATAGCAGAGCGTTAGCTGAACAATAGCAGAGCGTTAGCTGAACGTCAGCAGAGCGGTAGCAGAGCGTGTTGGTGTCCTTGTTCACATTAATGTCAGCATGCTAGTTAAAGATTTAGATTATCAAATGTTTTTTTAACATTATTCAACGTGTTGCTGCTCCTTACTGTGATCGTAAATCTTCTCTGTTTAATATTAATATAAATGTTTACAGAATATATAAAGATAATAATGTACCATATATATGTAAGGAGCATATATATCGATCTGTTCACCTGAGACATGCAGCAGCTTCTAGTGTGTGTGTAGTTGTGTATCTTGGTGTCATGTGATTAACAGAGACGTGTCGACACAAATAAAGTTTGTTTGAATGAAGATGAAGACAAGTTGTCTTTATTTTTACACCGAAGAACAAACTAAAAGCAGTAAAAGTCTTAACGTAAGTTATTGATGAACCGTCTCTGGTGTCAGGAGCAGACTGTGCTGTCGGCCTTCTGCCACCAGGTGGTGCTGCAGGACGAGTCTGAGAGGAATGAAGGTACACTGACTCAGAAAGAGGAAGAAGAGGAGGAGGAAGAGAGAGAGAGAGGGTTAAACTGTTCCTCTGGTCGTCCGCTACCAGCCGTCTGTCTGTAGACATGTCCTCCCGGGCGGAGAGTAAGACAGGTAAGCGCTGTTTCATATGCTAACTGTTAGCCACAGCAGGCTAACACATTCACTTCCTGACAGTTTCCTTCAGAGTTTAGTGTTATTGATGATGATGATGATGCTCCTCTTCCTCTCCAGCCTTTGGGTCTCTCACCATGAGGCTGAAGGATAAGCTCCACCCGCAGAAGATCAGACGCTCTGAGCGAATCAAACACACCCCGTCACAGAGACCAGAACCATGTGACCTGAACCTGCAACACAAGGTACACACACACTGCAATGCAAGGTACACACACACACACATACTGCAACGTAAGGTACACACACTGCAACACAAGGCACACACACACTGCAGCACAAGGTACACACTGCTACACAGACTGCAACACAAGGTACACACACTGCAACACAAGGTACACACACACTGCTACACACACTGCAACACAAGGTACACACACTGCTACACGCACACACTGCAACACAACGTACACACACTGCTACACATGCACTCTGCAACACAAGGTACACACACACACTGCTTCACAAGGTACACACACACTGCAACACAAGGCACACACTGCAGCACAAGGTACACACACTGCTACACACATACTGCAACACAAGGCACACACACACTGCAGCACAAGGTACACACACACTGCAACACAAGGTACACACTGCTACACACACTGCTACACAAGGTACACACACACACTGCACTGACCTTTGGTCTAAAACCACTAGATCCTACATTTCCCATAATGCACATGGACAGTGTTTTTCATTGAGACTGTGTGCTTCATTCACCAAATTAATCTTCATTACCAACAATTAAATGTGTGTGTGTGTGTCTGTCTCTGTGTGTGTGTGTGTGTGTGTGTCTGTCTCTCTGTGTGTGTGTGTCTGTTTCTGTGTGTGTGTCTGTCTCTGTGTGTGTGTGTGTGTGCGTGTGTGTGTCTGTCTCTCTGTGTGTGTGTGTGTGTGTGTCTGTCTCTGTGTGTGTCTGTCTGTCTGTTTGTCTGTTTGTCTGTGTCTGTCTCTCTGTGTGTGTGTGTGTGTCTGTCTCTGTGTGTGTGCGTGTGTGTGTGTGTGTGTGTGTAGGTGTGTGTGTTGGAGGACCAGCAGCGGGCTGTCATTAGCTCTCTGCAGTACTTCAAAGCTCTGGTGGACAGACTGGGAGTGGACAAACTGGTCCTGGACCAGTCTGTGGTGGCCGGTCTGCTGGGGGGGGCGTCCAGCGGAGTCCTGGAGGAGGTCCAGACTCTGGTCCAGCTGGAGCCACACCTGCACAACAGGTAGGCTTTGACCCCCAATCATCAGCGGAGTGACCCGACGTCTCCTGACCCGACCCTTTATCTGTCCTCTCTGCAGTGAGACCGTCTCTGCCTGTCTCACCCGTCTCTACCTGTCTCTGGCTCGCCTCATTCGTTGGGCCGATCGGGTGATGCTGAGAGGCATCGCCCACGGCAACAAGGACTCCACAGCTAGCGTTACCGTGGAGATCAGGGCCGTGCTGGACGGGGTGAAGGTGAGACACCATGGAGACAAACCGTCCTCAGAGACACCGTCCTCATCAACACGTAAACAAACATCATGTGACTCTACTCTGGTCATGATGATGTAAACAGGAAGTAGATCGCTTAGTTAATAAAGATCTTCTTCTATAAACTCTGTCTGTCTCTGTCTCTCTGTCTGTCTCTGTCTGTCTCTGTCTGTCTGTCTCTGTCTGTCTGTCTCTCTGTCTCTCTGTCTGTCTGTCTGTCTGTCTGTTTCTCTGTCTCTCTGTCTCAAACTCCTCCGTCCTCGGTACTCCAGCGTCGTGAGAACCCTCGTGAGAACCCTCATTGTCAACGAATGAAGACATGATGAGTAGTGTGGACATGGTCTTAGTCCGTCCCAGCAGCATGTGTTGTTGTTGTGATGTAATCAGCTGTTGTTTGTCAGGAACTGGTCCGATTGGCTGCAGAGAGACGAGGTGACTCCGCCCCATTGTCTCCCGTCCAATCACGGGTCACCGTGGGACAGACATCAGAGGACAAGGAGCAGACAGCTTTGGCTCCTCCTCCAAAGCCGCCGATGCCACTCACAGAGCTCCTCCCACAGGTGTCCTCACAGGGACCCAGGTGAGTCTGAATGATGTTTATTGTCTGTTTGTCTCTTTAGTTATTTGTCTACTGAACTAAAGAACATCTGTTTATACAGTCTGATCAATAACTGATGTAGATAGTGAGAGCTCATTTATTCTTTATTTATTTCATAAGTGAATCCAACAGAAGCAGAAACAGGAAGTAGAAACACTGAAGACACATGTCGCCTGTCCCCCCCCCCCGTCTCAGCACTTCCTAGCTGTGTCTCAATTCAGGGGCTGCATCCTTCGTAGGACCCAGCCTTCGCGGTCTACGTGGGCCGCGTCCTTTGAGGATATATAATATATATATATATATATATATTTATAAAATCCCTGCTCAACAGGATTATAAATATATATACATATAAATACATTAAACTAAAACCTATTCAGTATATATACTGGAAAGGTTTTAGTTTAGTGTTTTAATCAGTTTTTTATCATATATTCAATAATTAATTCATAGATCTTTTTCATAATATTGTTTTTCTATATTAATAATCAGTTAATTAAATCAGTTACTAATAACTAATTTTCAATCAGTTATAGTTCTTGTAATTAAATTAATTTATCAATAACTTTATTTGATTTCATTCACACATACATTTAACGTTATATATATATAGCAATCCTAAAGCAGAGGAAATCAATCAAGACAGTTAACATTAACAGCAGCAAAACAA